TTTTGAAAGAAAGGAGGAAATCTCTTACATTGTTCCAAGAATAGGTAATTTCTTAAAAAGTGGAAGAAGAATGAGTAATCATGGTAGTAGTAGTTGTGGTGAACAGAGAGAAAATAGCAATTAGATTTGCTCTAGAAAGGAGGAAGGAGGCTGGGCGCGGTGGCTCAAGCCTGTAATCCCAGCACTTTGGGAGGCCGAGACGGGAGGATCGGTCAGGAGATCGAGACCATCCTGGCTAACACGGTGAAACCCCGTCTCTACTAGCCGGGCGAGGTGGCAGGCGCCTGTAGTCCCAGCTACTCGGGAGGCTGAGGCAGGAGAATGGCGTAAACCCGGGAGGCGGAGCTTGCAGTGAGCTGAGATCCGGCCACTGCACTCCAGCCTGGGGGACAGGGCAAGACTCCCTCTCAAAAAAAAAAAAAAAAAAAAAAAAAAAAAAAGAGGAGGAGGAAGGAATGGAAAAACACAAGGAAATAAACAAGTATAAACTGTACACTAGAATACTGGAGTGGAATACTGGAGTGAAAAGAGAACTTTTCAGGGACTTAAGAAAAGGAGCTTTTTAAAATAGCTGAAATGGTAGATGATAAAGGTATCTTTGGAAACAACATTTAAGAATGACTATAGAATTAAAGCATAATTATAAAGAAATACTTTCTATTTTCCTTTAACTTTTTTTTATTTTTAAAAGGAAATAAATATTTAAGCAAAATTGAATTTTAATTATTAACTTGAAAAATTAATGAATTATTTTACTAAATTTTATCTCATTTTTCTTACTGGAATTTTCATTTTGACTTTTATTATGGTCATAATCTATTCAGTCTTCTCTAAACTTATTGAATGCTTTTTTTAAAGTTTATTTTATTATTATCTTTCTCCAACTGTGTTTTACTTTCAAATTATGACTTCTAGATAGCCCTCAATTTGTAGGTGACTTGAAAATCAGTTTGAAAAAATACACCTTTGCCTTGAATTATTCGCCATCTGTAGACTAAATTAAACACAATATGCATAAAAGAATAAGCAATACGTAAAGCTTTTAATTCTGAAATTATGTTCCTTAGAAGTCAAAAGCAGCAATTCTACATTGTAATTTTATTTCCCAAACATATTTATTGACATAAAATGATAAAGTCATTAGAATTTTCTCAAAGATTTAAACACAAAGTTTAAAAAATTTGAAAAACACATTAAGTTAGGCCATGTCCATACAATGGTTTAACTTAAACTGAAAAGTGGGGCAAATCAAGCAAACACACCATTAGTTGTCAAACAGATCTCTCCAAAATAATACCTCAGTTGAAACCAATCTTTCTTTAAAAATCATCCTATTTAGTTGACATGATGATGCACTGTCTGCTCAAAACTTAAATTACAGGTCCTTACAAATGTACCACTCTGGTGCGGGATGTTGATATACTGGGGGAGGCTATGAATGTGGGGTCATGAGGTATTTAAGAACTCTCTTATTTTCCACTCAGTTTGGCTGTTAACCTAAAACTGCTCTAAAAAATAAAGTTAACTAAAAAAATAAAAATAAAAAACAGAGCCAAGCAAATAACAGGACTGGTCAAAATGCAATTCTAGAAACCTGGGTTGACAACAACAAAACCATGGCCAAGAATGCATATTCTGAAATGTGTAGAAATGTTAAGGATAAAGTAATTTTTAAACTTCCATTATAATACTTTCCATTAAAATATGTTGTGAATAATTCTTAACCTTAAGAAAAAAATGGTAGATCTATGAAGCATTAGAGAATCCTAAAATACATTCTAGAATAGCTTTAAAATATTTTAAAATGTAAATAATTAAAACTTTTCAAAATTCATTTTAAAAACACTACAGTGTGAGATTGGGCTGTAAAGAAAATGGAAAGATTCTTCTGTTACTGATAATAAAGGAGAATAAATGTCCACTAATTGCTCTAATTTAATGTATTTGCTGGCTGTGTAATAATTTTTGATGACTCAGATATGCAAACACACCAGTACATTCACATGGCTTAATTACGTATATTCTTTCATGGTAAAGGGAGATGGAAAAGGAAAAAATAGCAAAAAGCAAACTTTTACTTGGCTCTTTCCATGAGAAAACCTCATTCACTCCTTTCCCTCTTCTATCCAGAAAAGATAGAAAGAGGAGCAATTAGGAGAAATGCAACAATAAATAAAGACAAATAAGTAAAAGAAAAAGGGAAGAGCTTCAACAGAAAAAAAAAAAAAAAAAAAAGGGCCAATTGCTTTCTGCTTTCCAAAAACTAGGAAAACAAAGAAAGAGGCAAGGAGAAAGAGAAAAAAAAAAGAGTATTTCTTAAAGTTCATGGTTCTTGTTCCTTCTCCTTTCCCAACCCTCATGACCACTGGCTTAGGGTGGGATATTCTTTGTTTCTACTGTATGATAGATACAGCTGAGGGTTTGGGAAGAAATTCGTCCTACTGTGAGAGTTGGTGTGGTGAGAGAATAGTAGGGATAGGAGTGGGTAGACTGGGAAACACATTTAGAGTTCCATTAAATATAGAAACTCTAAATGTATTTTCACACAGCCATGAACTGAACTTAAACATTCTATAGTCCTATGTTTCAGAAACATTATGAGATAAAAAGGCTGCTGTGGCTCACCCTGGGATCTACAAGCCCTTTAATATTGTTTCTAAAGAAATGTATAAACAAATTTTGTTTTGATTTATATATAAATATCAACAATAGAATTTATATATTAATACAATTAAATTTAAAAATCTATAATTTGAGAAATTTGTAATTTATATATAAACAAAATTAAATTTAATAATCTATTTATAATTTGAGAATTGTCTATATATTTAAGAAGTACAGCAAAGGTATCTACTTTCCCCACAGGAAGCCAGTGCCTGTTAGAGAGCCTAGAAGTAGGAAGCAAGACCATGAGGATGGAAAATAGAAACCTTTTAAATTCAGCCGAACACGGTAACTTTACTGCTCTAAAAGGGAAAGCCAAGACTACCCTAAAAAGGGAGAAGACTGCAACCTACCTGTACAGGCAAATAAGAATGACTTAGGAGTATTTTAGAGTCCACTGGATAAAAGAAATTCACACTAAAGAAGAGTGATGAACAAGGCTAAGTTGTATTCTGTATCTGTTCCATGCATGTGACTTACTTTTTATAGTTCACTCACTTCTATATTCTCATCTGTGATTTTATTGTTATAATAAACAGGAGTTTCCCAAGTGTTAGAATTGTGAAGGGGGACAGGTGATAAGAATACTACTTTAACGAGGGTAAAATCCTAAGACAGAGTGCTAATCCCTCAAGTGGCAGCCAAAATGGAATCTGGAAGATATGTAAGAATCTGCTAGATACAATACATTCAAGCAGTCTTTTCTCTTGTTTTGTAATTTTTTTCCTATAAAACATTTCTGGGAAATGGCTTCCATTTTATTGCAGGGTACAAACCTTCTTGTTTAAGTGTATGCCTGGACATGCACACATACTCTCTCTCATACACACGCATATGCACAAATACAAGGGAGCATCAATATTTCACATTTTTAACTGCAGGACCTACATTTCTCTCCCTAATTCCCAACATGTCTACCTAAATAGCAAGAAAGAAAGTGGAAAAGAAATTAAAATTCATTCTTGTGCTTCCTGTAGCAGTAGCTCGGGAGCACTTATAGCCACAGTAACCACTATGATCTGCTTCCTTGCCTCCATGCCTGTTTTCACATATTAATGCCAAAACAGAAAAACCAATCTCAGGGTAAACCATATCTAATTAAATGACTTTCTACCTGTAATTTAGACCCATTCAGTAGCATAATTTTCACTGAAGAAGCTGAAGTATGTTTAGACTGTATGTTTTAAATGGTGGCATAATGTGCCTTGCTATTGGCAGACATCACCACCTCTTTTATGCTTTCCTATGGAACTTTCAAGAATTGCCACACTTTAAAAACACCAAAAATGATCACTAGGTAAGCTGGATAATCATTATTCTTTTCTGACATACAATCACCTAGATTCTTTAAGTGAAAACAATGGCAACTGTTCTCATCATCAACTTTCTAGTTTACCATAAATAGCTCCATTCTCCTCCTTTCCCATTTTCTCTATAGAAACCACAACACAACCGGAACTAAATATACCAAAAGGAACTACTATTTTCACCTCAGTTTACAGGAAGAAGAAAACAGAGAATGGATTTTGTTTTACTTCTAATATAGATGTTTGCTTAGGGTAAAGAAGTAGCTTTGTGCTTCCCACCATGGTTACCTTCTGAGGAAGGTGATAATTTCCTTCTTAGACTGGTTGTTGACACTACAATAACGTCTAGATAGGAGGGAAGTTATAAAAAGAATACGAAATTAAATAAAGAATAATAAATTAAAAGACAAGGGAGGGAAATGGGAAAGCATTGAAAAAGCCATAATGAATGAAACTGACTTCCAGTAAAATTTTAAAATAATAAAATGAAGCAGACAAGAAGGGATATATATACACACACACACACACACACAGAATCTTGGAAGAAAATTAACTTCAAGAAAATACAAATAACTAGTGTTGCATCAATACTATGGCATTCTTTACCAGAAAGTCCAAAGTGTTTAAAGTCCCTATTAGTTGTTCTACTTCAATATGTAAATTCACTTGCTTAAAAGTTAATTGAGAAATCAGAAATATTAATTAAGGAATATTTGCAAATACTTTTGAATACAAGCCCAAAATGTATGAGTAATTTTAAAATGCATTTTCCTTATTCTCCTACTGAAATAACAATTTAAAAATGAATACGATTTTTAAATAAATTTTCATTCATATGTGTAACATAAGGGGCTCCATTTTTCTTATTGCCTATTGCTCCTAGATAATAAATTAGGAGTTAAGGGCAACTCCACAGCTCTTTCTTCCAGACTACTATTTACTGAAGTTAGAAGTTATAGCACCGTAAGTACAGCGAAAAATGTAAAGAAATCAACAATGGTTTGACTTGAAGAGTTACGTATTTCTTACCATGTCTTTTCCACCTATGACCCCTTATTGACATGCTGGTTACTGCATTTCTTGATATTCTAGAGGAAGTTGGTGTGATTTCAACTTGAATACACCTTGTACCTTCCTTATTAGATTTCATGGGACCATGAGGCAATGAAGCCTTTATTGCATTAGCAACCTAAGAAGAAAAAATATAGTTTAAGATCAACATGAGCAGATGTATTATCTTACCCTTAGATAAAACATGATGCTAAACAGGCTTATACAAAGATGCTCTTCCCAAGCATTTTAAAAGATGATACAGAAATCCTCTAAGATAAGAATAGGAGGCTCAGGGGGAAATCCATGGTTTAAAAAATATGTAAATGATAAAGTTAAAAATTTCAAAATATTCAATTAGATTTCCAAATGCCTAATGTTGATTAATAAATGCAGCTAAAGTATGTTAAGGAGAACAATTCTTATAAGTTAAAAAGACTGTTAGGTGTCTAGGAAGTCGGTCTAATAAAAATTTTTATTTTGGCCGGGTGCAGTGGCTCACACCTGTAATGCCAGCACTTTGGGAGGCCAAGGCAGGCTGATCACCTGAGGTTGGGAGTTTAAGATCATCCTGACCAACATGAATAAATCCCATCTCAACTAAAAATACAAAAAATTAGCTGGGCATGGTGGCGTGTGCCTGTAATCCCAGCTACTTGGGAAGCTGAGGCAGGAAAATTGCTTGAACCTGGGAGGTGGAGGATGTGGTGAGCCGAGATCATGCCATTGCACTCCAGCCTGGGCAACAAGAGCAAAATTCTGTCTCAAAGAAAATTTTTTAAAAAATTTATTTGTTACTTTTCTAAGTTATAAAACTTCCATGTATAACAAGAGCATGAATACACTGAGTATTAATGACATATTAATGAACTATGAATGGCTCTCTCAATGTATAGTTCTAAATTGAGAAATCTTAAATTATAAAATTTACATAAATAAGTCAGGCACCTACCAGCAATGGCTCTGGATATAATTCTAGCTGGGCTCTGTATATAATATCATCCAGTGCTTTTTGAGCGAGATCCCATTCTCCATTATAACTATAAAATTAGATGAATTAAACAAAGAAATTATAATTATTTATAACTGAACAGAATACAATGAGAAATTATCTTTACTGAAGAAAATAAAAGATCATATTAGCACATTGCTTAACATTCTACTCCTCTTAAAAATGTATTTTTAAATCTTTGAATTCCTTCGAATTGCATCTAAATGCCTATTAATAGCAAAGAAAATTTTATAGATCTACATTTCTTCTCTAAAGAACATGACTATTTATAGAACAGAAATAAAAAAAGCTAAGGCAATTTCAAAGCATTTTATACTTTCAAAGCAAATCAGGGAATAATAAATTATATACCTTAGAATAATGTTCAGAACACTTTATGGCCAAATTACTCTGTAACTCCCACAGTTTTTAATGAGAATATACAACTAATGTGGCCTGAGTAGTTATTTCTTTGCATTTTGATAGTCACTTAGATGTGTATTTGCTACATGTTGCAAATAGCAGAGCAACATGAGGGAAAAAGTATGTGTGCATGTGTGTGTGAGTGTGTGTGTGTGTGTATGCATAATTTTCAAAGATATGCCAAACCCTTCCTAAAAATCAGCTAAATTACAAAAATGAACAGAGATATAGTGGCTTGATCAACTGACAACAAAATAAAGAGGTATACACTACATCAAGAGTGCAAGCGAGGCCTAAAAACTGGCAAGAATATTACTCCCACCATAAAAACAAGATAAAGCCAGATAATCTACAAACTTATAAATTCTCATGAATCCATCAAAGAGCCGAGGTCACAAGGGCATCCACGTAGCCGGAACCCCAAGGAGAGATAGGTGCCTCTAAGGAGAGATGGGCCACAATACAAGCAGGTAAGAAACATTTAGCTAATCTTCTTAACAAATTCCTAGAAGCCAAATTGCTAAAAGGTACCTCATGGGCTAGCAGGAGAGTATAGGATCTCCAAAAGCACATACGAGTGGCAGCTTGTATCCACCACAGGCTCTTCTCCATAAATCTCCTTTAGGCACTCACAAGAAAAACTAGAAACAGGACAGGTCAGAGAAAACTGCCCTTGATGGTATAGGCCTGAAGGAAAAGAGTAACCTCTCCATGAGAAAAGTACAAAGACCCAGCCAGATGCCTTTATCACGTGGAACAAAAATGTTAAAGCCTTTGGGGAAAGAGCAGCAAACCCTTTCACCCCCCAGGGTACAAGTGAAGACCAATTTGGCTCTGAGGGTAAGGAAAAAAAAAAAGCAAAAAACCTCTTATTCTATGCTGAGATAAGTAGAGGTATCATCACTGAAGAAGGGGCAGGACCACTGAGAAACTCCCATCCCTGAGATGCAGGAACATGGGATCAGCCTAAAACTGAGGCTGGACTAGGACAACAGAGAACATTACCTCCCCCATTTCCACGTGCTCCCCTCCAAGCCACCACCCCAACCACCATCAGGCTAGTGCACACCCAGAACCAAGCAACAGAACTCTATTGCTGGAGGAAGGGGTGAGAACATGGAGAGAAATCTATCTGCAGTGGAGGCATACAGGGAATGCTGAAAGCTGAGGAGGAAGCAGGAGTATTAACAAAAACCCTCCAGCAATCCAGCTCTCCACCTAAGTACCAGGTAGCACTAGAGGAATTTGAAGTAGATGGTGCCCTGAGGGTAACCATAACAACAAAACCCAATCCTAGTTCACTTCTGCCTATAATAATTCCACTAGCAGCCTAGAAGAGGCATGCCCATTTCCTGTCATAAATAATATTTACCTCAGTCTCTACTGTCCTACCACTGAACAAAATCATGAACAATCAAAAATTACAAGGCACACAAAAACCAAAACAAACAAGACCAACTCTGTCAAGAGATAAAGCAAGCAGTAGAACTAAATTCATAGATGACCGAAATGTTGAAGTTATTTGGGAAATTTATTTAACTATGACTAATATACTAAAGGCTTTAGTGGAAAAGATGGACAACATGCATGAACAAATGAAGATTTCAGCAAAGAGATGGGAACTACAAGAAAGAGTCTAATGAAATGGTTAGAAATAAAACACAGTAACAGAGATGAAGAATGCCTTCAGTGGTCTCCTTTCTAGACTTGACCTAGTCAAGGAAAAAAATCAGTAAACATGAAGATATATCCAACAGAAACTACTCAAACTGAAACACAAAGAAAAAAGATAAAATAAAGTAGATCAGAGCATCCAAGAACTGTGGGACAATATTAATGGTCTAACACAGGGGTCAGAAAATTTTTCTTGATGAGCCAGACAACAAGTATTTTAGGCCTGTCGGCCATACAGTCTCAACTATTCAACTCTGCCATTGCAACACAAAAGCAGCCATAGACAATACATAAACAAACAAGCATGACTGTGTTGCAAAAACTTGACAAAAACAGGCATCAGGCCAGATTGGGCCCAGAGACGATAAATTCTGCCTTTACAAAGTTTATAAATTTTGCCTTCAAAAAGTTTATACTCTACTAGAGAAAATTAAAAGTATCAAGTAAATATAATGCAAAGTAAATGAGACATGTATAATAAGAGAATTATAAAGTAAAGGATAGGGTTCAAAGAAAAATACTAGTACCCAAGTCATTAGGTAAGACTGAGACTGAGCACCAATACTAGAAACTAATAGAAAGCTAATAATAAACTATTTCTAATCAAAGAGGCTCTGAAATGTTTTTTAAGAGCTAAAGTTTCTGGCAATGGGAAAAGATATTTCTTGAGGAAAAAAAGCTATTTGGAAATTATAGCAAAAAAAAAAATGAAGAAAGAGACTATGAATATATTTAAGTGTTACTAATTTTCATTCCATCCTTGAATTTAAGAAAGATGATAAAGTGTTTTAGTTGGTTTAAAATTCATCAGAACTTTAAAAGATATGTTTCAAACTAAGGTAATAGTTTTAAAGTATTAAAACTATTTAATAAAATAAAGAATTTGAATGAATATCTTCCTTAAAACTATTTAAGATATTCATTCATATTCTTTCACAAAAAGTATGTAAATCACTTATCTATTGACATTATAACATAGTGACAATAGATTAACAGACTATAATTTTCCAAAGAAATTAAAGGTTTATTTGCATATGATGAGATACTTACAAGGCAAAATAAATCCCTGTTAACATTTGCACCATGAATCCTGAAGAAACTGGTATCCTGCTACTTATACCTTTGTATTTTCTTACATGTTGTCGAGGATATCCACAAACACAGATTCTAGAAAAACCAAAATAAATGTATTTGTAAAATTGGTAAAAATTTAGGTAAGTTATTTTAACATTTATAAGCCAACAATGTACTAGGTACACTTCCATAACCTAATACTTATGAAACAAAAAATCTTTCCAAACAGAACATTTGTCTGTAATATATTCCTGAGTAAGTTATACCAGGAAAAAACATATAAAGTTGAGGTATGTAGATACATAGAGTAAGTGAACCAGATTCACTCACTGGTTAGTTCAGTAATTTTGGTCAATCAATTATCAATGATTTTTGGGTACCGCTAAACCTATTATATGAAACTTGGCATGGTCCAGGCTCAGTGGCTCACGCCTGTAATCTCAACACTTTGGGAGGCCAAGGCAGGTGGATCACCTAGGCCAGGAGTTTGAGACCAGCCTGGCCAATATGGTAAAACCCCGTCTCTAGTAAAAATACAAAATATTAGCCGGGCGTGGTAGCATGTGCCTGTAGTACCAGCTACCAGGGAGGCTGAGGCAGCACAATCACTTGAACCTGAGAGGTGGAGGTTGCAATGAGCCAAGATCGAGCCACTGCACTCTAGCATGGGTGACAGAGTGAGATTCCACCTCAAAAAAAAAAAAAAAAAAAGAAAGAAAAAAGAAACTTGGCACTGTCATAAATAGATGTGTGGTATGATCCACAATTCCTGATAAAGTTCTTGACACAAACTGTGGGATCCAAAAAAAAATCTATAAATTAGACTCAAACCTCATACAGTATACCATAATAAACTTCAGATAGATTATAACTCTTAATGTTTAAAAATCACAATGGACATAAAACAGGCAAATAGATACATACTCTTTGCACGCTACCTAAACATGACACCAAAGGTAGAACCCTAAAGAAAGATCAATAGATTTTACCTTTTTTTTTCAAGAAACTACCATAAACAAAATGACATGTAAATAAATATTTATATCATGGCACATGTATACCTATGTAACAAACCTGCACGTTCAGCACATGTATCCCAGAACTTAAAGTACAAAAAATTAAAAAATAAAAAAAAGACATGGAAACTAAAAATAAAAAGCAAAGAAATATTTATTTATTATTATTATTATTTTTTTAGAGTCAAGGTCTTGCTGTGTGCCTAGGCTGGAGTGTAGTGGCATGATCACGGCTCACTGCAGCCTTGAACTCCTGGGTTCCAGCAATTCTCCCATCTCAGCCTCCCGAGTATAGGTGCATGTCACCACACCTAGCTGCTTAAAAAAATATTTTTTTTGAGATGGGGTCTTGCTATGTTGTCAGGCTGGTCTTGAACTCCTGATCTCAAATGATCCTCCCATGTCAGCCTCCCAGTTGCTGAGATTACAAGTATCACACTCAGCTCCAGAAATATGTATTATAGTGAGGAATATTTAAGGAGTACCAAAGTTAAGGAGCATTTATTATAATGAAAAGGAAGCAACCTAAAAGTCCAACACAGGAGACCAATTATATAAATCATTCAGAGAATACTATAGAAATTAAACATAATGTTTTGAAAATCTATTTAAATGACAGGGAAAAAACTGTCCAAAACAACAGATGCAGCATAATCCCATTTTGCAATAAACAAATAGGTGTACAGTGTGTGTCACTGCAAAAAGAACATTAAAAAGTCATAGTTACCTCTGATCTGTGGGATTATAGATCTGTTTTCTTCTTTATATTTACATGTATTTTTTGAACTTTCTGACCAACATGCACTGTTTTATTGTTTGTTTGTTTTTTGTTTTTGTTTTTGAGACGGAGTTTCCCTCTTGTTGCCCAGGCTGGAGTACAGTGACATGATCTTGGTTCACTGCCACCTCTGCCTACCAGGTTCAAGCAATTCTCCTGACTCAGCCTCCCAAGTATCTGGGACTACAGGCCTGCGCCACCATGCCCATCTGATTTTTTTGTATTTAGTAGAGATGGGGTTTCACCATGTTGGTCAGCATGCACTGTTTCTAAAATAAACAGTACATTTTTATTTTTCATAAACAAATTTACTAGAAAATAAATGCTTTCACATAATATTCTATGCTTGATATAATATGAGCTTCACTTAATATAGTGCTAGCCAATAGATTGTAATTATTTACTTACTCTTCCCCTGCACTCACTACCTAGAACTTTTCTCTACTCTAACTAGAGTTAGAGTAACTAACTAAAGTTATTTTCTCTACTCAATGAATCTAAGCCTTCACTTTAAAATGTCCGAGTATGCCACAGACCATTTCAAAAATATTCCCCAAGAATGTTATTAATTCAGACAACTTTAAAAGATCCACATAAATGCATTTAATATCAGAGGATCCCAGAACTTTTTAGAACCAAGAGTAAAAAGTAAGCAGGGAAATAGAAAAATTAGCTGCATGTGAAATAAAACAAACTCAAGTTTTGTTTGAATTTACAAAAATGTATGCCCAAACTAGAATAGAGACTCCTCTTACTCTTATTAACTAAAGAAGCAAACAAAAAATTTTACTTTCTTACGCCTTACATTTTTATGCTAGGGATGGTTGTATGGTTGTAAATAATAGAGAACCAATGGATGAAAGAAATTTTTAATTAACTCATTTATTCATTCTGTAAATATTAATTAAAGACTGATATTGTGTCAGACCCTAGAGATATAGATGATGGATGTAGCTCCCACAGGGACTCACAATCTAATCATGGAGACTATGTAGTAAGCAAATATTTTCAATGAACATGTTCAAGAGCTGGTAAAGGAGAGAATGGTAAACTCAGGTGGAAGAAGTGGAGAGTCAGAGAGGACTTCTCAGAAAAGAGATTCCTTTGAATTGAGTCTTGAAGAAAAAGTGATATTTTTCCAAGTGGAAAACATAGGAAAGTTCAAAGGCAGAGGTGGGATGAAACAGCATGACATTGAGGAGACTGTGGACATTTTAGCAGGATGGAGGGCTAGGACACTAGGAAATACTAGAGAAGCTCATCACATCATGTAGCCAGATCATAAGTATCTTATAACCTGCTAGGTTTTACCACGTAGACACTGGTAAGCAACTAAAGATTTTTTTGTTTTGTTTTGTTTTGTTTTAAGCAAAGGAGTACCAAAATCAGATTGGTCTTCTGATAACATCACTCTGGCTATATTGGAAGAGTTCACTGAAACTGGATGTGGGTGGGATGAGGATCCCAGTAGTAAGATGAAGGAGGACTGAAGACAAGACAAAATGGTGGGTAGAAGGAGGAAGGGTAGGTTTGCAGTCATATCTAGGAAGTATAAAGAAGGTAAGACCAAAGAAATAAGAAGAGTAGATAATTATTTCCACATTTAGTTTGAATAGCTGGCCACATGATGGTATCATTAACTGAGTTAGAACAAATAGGAATACGGGAATATACTGTTTCAGATATGTTGGTTTTTAGGTAGCGTGACATAGTATCAATTTTGCCTGCCATGCCACCATCCCTATCTGCCATGCCACCATCCCTATCTTCTATTAAAAGCACTGCCATCCCTCTTCCCTTTAGGAACTAGTCTTTCCCTATATAATCAAGAATAATCACATGATTATGGTGAGGCTGCTAATGAAACTATCTATTACAGAGGTCGCTACCTCCATATCTATTTTTAATAATACATACATATAAGTCACACTCCCTTCCTTTCCCCCAGCAATTTTAGCTAGGAATGGCAGCTGCTCCACTAGAGACTACATTTTCTAGTTTTCCTTGCATTTAGATGTGATCATGTGACTAAGTTCTAGACAATGGTATATTAACCAAAGTGGTGAAACTTCTAGGTCACACCCCTTAAAAATCTTCTATGTCATACCCCTAAAAAGCAGCTACATGCCTTTGACTCCCTTTCTCCCTGCTTGCAGGATAGAAAGCAGATGTAATAGTGGTGATCTGAGACCATACCAACAAGAGAAATATCATAGGGAATGGCAGAATCCCAAGACAGAAGGAACTTGAACACACTGGAAACATGCAAGCAATCTACCTTTTAGACCACCTACCAGCTTGGACTTTTATGTGACAGAGAAATATCTACTTTATTTAAGTTATCATTGTTTGTCTGTGTTAATACAACCAAAGCAATATTTAACCTGATAGAGTACTCTTACAATTATATTACTCAACATGGCCCCAAAGGGGTATGTAGAAGTCTCAGGCTGGCACACCCTTTGCTGGATGTTTTTAATACTGAAACTGGGAGAAGCTCTTTCTACTGAGGTCACTAAAAGTAGACAATGTAAGGGCCTGGCACAGTGGCTCACGCCTATAATCTTAGCACTTTTGGGAGGCCAAGGCGGATGGATCACAAGGTCAGGTGTTCAAGACCATCCTGGCCAACATGTCGAAACCCCATTTCTACTAAAAATACAAAAATTGGCCCAGCATGGTGGCATACACCTGTAATCCCAGCTATTCAGGAGGCTGAGGCAGGAGAATCGCTTGAACCCGGGAGGTGGAGGTTGCGTGAGCCACCATCTGGCCATCCTGAGGCCAATTCCATGACTGCTCTTCCTAGGTTCAAATATCTGTTTTTTTGTTTTGTTTTGTTTTGAGATGGAGTCTCACTCTGTTGTCCAGGCTGGAGAGCAGTGGCACAATGACCTCAGCTCACTGCCACCTCCACATCCCAGGTTCAAGCGCTTCTCCTGCCTCAGCCTCCATGTAGAAGGGATTACAGGCGCCCACCACTACATCTGGCTGATTTTTGTATTTTTAGTAGAGGCGGGGTTTTGCCATGTTGGCCAGGCTGGTCTCAAACTCCTGACCTCAAGTGATCCACCCTCCTTGGCCTCCCAAAGTTCTAGGATTACAGGGGGTGAGTCACTGCATCCAGCCCCTTTGGTATAATTTAGTTTGATGTAGATATCAGTTGGCTGCCACAGGAAGAGTCCTAAAATTTACAAGGTATCTATGGGACATGTTGACAGAGACAGTTCCTGGATTGAATATACAGGTTTAGGAATCAGGAAGGAAATAGTATAGGGTTCAGAACATAGATAAATTAT